CGATGGAACAGGACACCGGGGCACTGCCACGACGCAGTGCCAGGCTTGCAGTTCGTACCCGCCCTGTGGTACCTCCAAGAACGAAGGCTCAGCAACAACGACTCAGCAAACGGAAGACTCCAGCGGCATCGAGTACAGCATTGACGGTACCGGTTACCACCGGGGTTCTTCCCGCATGCCCGGTCCAAGGGGCCAATGAGCCAGTGGCAGCTTACTTTCAGTGGGTACAGGTATTCACTGATACCGTAGCTGCCGTCAAGGCTCGGCAGGAGGCAGCAGAGGCAGAACGTCAGCGGCTGGCCAATGAAGCGGCAGCCCAAGCTCAGCAGACTGCTGAGGCTGATGCAGCGGCACGAGATCAACGGAATGCCGCCAGCACGGAGTCCCTGATTCATAGTGAGAGCCAGTGGACAACGTTCCTCCAAGGCATGATCTTTGTGCCTTCGGACGCGCAGGCAGATCCGACACCGGCGGAGGCAAAGAAGACCCACCTGGCCAACTTGATGCTGGGCATGATGAGAGGAATCATGTGGAATAACACACTGCTGCAGGCACATCTGCGCACAGAACGACAGCAAAGACAAAAGTACCAGCAAGACATTGCTGTTTTAACAACTGCCATCCGCGCCGAAGCAACACAGCAGCAACTGCATCAGCAGTTGAACTCCGCTCTCGCGCGCATCAACAACATTGAGGCTAACACCTCAGCAGCGCCAGGCTGCACGATAGACGAGACAAARCAGCTCAATGGGCGYATCGATCACGTCGTCAAACTCATCGGCGACATAGGTGTTTTCAWTGGACCGGACACGATCAGTAGCACGGTGGCCGCCATCAAGACGGACATCACCAAGCTGCAGACGAGACCGGACGCCGCCACGAAGAATTACAAGATGCCGCACTTCGACATCAGCAAGTTCGACGACTACAACAAGTCGGACGCCTTGACATGGTGGCAAAGCTTCCTCACGGAAGCATCATGCCACACCGTCCCGGCCGACGACATGATGAAGGCACTGTACTTACAACTGATTGGAGGAGCGCAGACATTGATGAATCATCTGGCGGCTACAAAGAAATGCACCATCGCCGAACTCCACACGCACATCCCGTGGAAGCAGTTCGAGAAGCAATGGCTCACCCGGTTTATGGTTCGCAACGTCGTGAAGGCAGCCATGAACGAGGTGTACACCTGCTCTCAAGGTAGTATGCCAACTCGAGACTGGACAACTAAGTGGCAGAAGATAGTGACCACACCAGGCTTCGATTTGAGTTTTACCAATCAACGATCCGAGTTCTTCTCGCGATCGTGCGCAGGACTGCGATCGGCACTCGACAACGAGTACGATTACGATTCATTCCAGGCCATTCTGGATCGTGCAAACTTAGTCATCCAAACGGATGACAAGGCCGCAAACGAACGGCAGTCCCAGCCGCATTATGTGGCTAAGCATGGCTATCAACGTCCGACACACAACAATGCCGTGATTTATGAAAAAACAGACGATCTCCACGCTGCAGCAGCATCCTCGAGTGATGGAGGAATTGTAGCAGCGCTCCCGCCGAAGCGTCCCAAGAGAGTTCGGAAGAACAAGGCGACACAAGAGACGGCATCGACGGGAACTGGGCAGCAGCCATGGACGGCTTACAAGATAACCAAGGATGTCTATGACCTTCGTCAAAAGTACGGATACTGCCTTTGGTGCAACGGCGTCACTCATGTGACCGCACAATGCCCCGAAAAGGGCAAGGCACGCGTACCCCGTCCAGCAAACTCGGGAAACTGAGTTACGCAAGGAGAGGGGCGACGTCTCTCCTCACTCCGCCGGAACCGGTTGCCTTGCTAGCAATCGATGTCACTACCGGGGAGCATCCGTTAGTCGCTGATTCTCATGCCACGTACGAGGATTATGCCGCCCAACTGGTACCACCACTAGACCAGCCAAGCCACGTGCACTTAGATTGCGTATGCGCAGCCTCCACACCGTCGGCAAGTGATCCGGTCAGTTCGCCACTGATTTCCGAGGACTCGACGGCGTGGTCAAGACTTGAAGAGCTTGACCCGCTCACGACAGAGGACTTCGCTTGGATGCCTCTACCCTCAACCGGAACCTTGCCAAGGCTGCATTGCAACGCCTTGATGGCAACTCTACGCTCCTATTTGCACCCTACAGTACCAGCTCCGTTGACAGACGACGGAGTAGCGGTTGTCGATCTCCGCTCCTATCTTGCGAAGATTGACCGCGAGTACGCCACCCAAAGGTACGCTGGAACCGACGCGCCTTTGCTCTATATCCGCATTCAGATCGGAAAGGCAACTTGTAGTGCCTTGATTGATTGCGGAGCGTCTCGCAACTTTATGAGCCAAGCCTTTATGGCCCGCGCAGGTCTTGGCCCGCGCATTCGAAGGAAGACGCAACCTACGCAAGTTACACTCGCGGACGGCCGCACGCAAAAGTCAATTGACAGATGCGTCGATGGCGTTCCGGTATACTTTGCGCCACTTGCGTGCGAGCCGGTGTCTTTTGACATCCTCGACACCAAGTTCGACATGATTCTAGGCATGTCTTGGTTGCGTAGCGCCGATCATCCGATGAACTTCCATGACCGAACCGTTCACATCCGTGATCGGAACGGAGTGTTAGTCCCATGTACGGTCGTGACCCCTCACACTTCGATTGCTTGTCACGTGGTTT